TAGTATTTCATTTATTTAATATGAAACTAAGACTAACAATTATTTATATAAATATATTACAATTTATTTATATACTTTTTGTTCATATTTTAATAATTATTCACATTAATAAATAACATGGCAGACTGTTAAATAATTGGAAATGACTGAGGTGTAACTGCATATGTGTGTGGATATACGTGTGTGCAATAATGTAATGTGAGTAATGATTAAAAACAGTAACATTTATATTTAATAAACTAACTAAATAAAATGTATTCTACAGTATATATAGTCTTTATATACAGAATATTAAGCTCATCCAATATAAAACTGCAATTCTTTACAAATATGAATGAATGAATGAATGAATGAATGTCAATACAAGGACCTAAAGTATTGATGAACTGTACAAAAAAGAATCATGATATATCAATATGACTGTATTGGCACAGTCTTTGTAATCTACCCATCGGTCTCACCCTCCTGAGCTGAATTTACACTACTACACTTTCTCATTGAGATATAAGGGACTAAAAATAGCAGCAACAAAACTGGTGAGACTGATGAGATTAACACTATACCTGACCTAAAATCAAGATAAGATGAACAACGTGCCAATTGAAAAAAAAAAAACTGCTGAGATGTTTTAATGTGATATGGTAAGACAAGTGAAACCCCTTTAAGTTAAAACACACACACACACACACACACACACACACACACACACACGCGCAAACAAAAACATATTGTACGATGTGCTCTAACTCAGATTAATTCTAATGAGGTCACTACTCGGCTGTGAGCAAGAACCGTTTCCGATTTGGATAAATGCTCTCTAAGGATCTGGCTCTCTAGCAGAAATCCTGAAGGTTGGTAACTTGGGGATTAACACACTTCAGCGCTCTCGCACACAGAGAGAGTGTGGGTAAACTTTACCCGTGTTATTCCGGTAGGTTCCAGTATGGCCCGGAGGGACCGCTTCTCCCTGGCTCTGGCTCAAGCTTCTCATGGGGACTTTCTGGTAGACTCTGTCTTCATATATGGGATCGATGTGATGCTCGGGGGACTGCAGGGGCCTCAGTTCGGGGCCCAGGTGAGCATGCTGACTGCTGTACGAACCTCGAGATCCTAAAAGAGACACAAAAGACACAGTTCCTGTTAGTGATGATAATTTTAACTTGGAAAAAAAAAAGTATTGCAAACTCAGTCCCTTATGAATGAGAACAACAATACGGCAGTGTAAGCACATCATTACGTTGATCCCATAATGCACATAAGCTGTTGGCTATCACACTAGATCTGCCAATCACAACATGTCGAAGGCATCAGAGAGCAAATTAGTCAATATTTCCTTCCTGATCTGAAGTGCATCTCCGGAAAGCAACAAGGATACTGTGAAGATGATGTTTATGAACCCTTTGAACCACAGGAGGAAAGTATAGCCACAATGATCCACACTATATATACATATCCCGGCTTAGTAGACGTTTATAGGGACTCTAGTGTTATATTATAAATATATGTGTTTTATATATTATTTAATAATCTACATACTGTTTACACATGTGTATGTGAATGTTATTAAATAATTATTACTAATTATTATTTAAAAATAGGAATGATTTATATTAAACAAACACTTCAGTACTTAAATACTTTATTACATGTAAATACACAAAGAACCATATATTGTCAATTATTATTATTAAAACAATAATAATTATTAAAAATAATAATTATTATTAAAACAATTATTATTAAAAATGTACAAATTCGAATAAATATTTAAACTACTGTTATATTTATATATAATATATACTTATTACATTTTAATAATAAATGATAAAATAATTAGTGTTCATTAAATAACTATTGAATAATATAGATTATTTAATATAAATCTTAAAAAATATATTTTATTATCATTTACATATTTTATGTATTACATAGAAAAAGTAGAACTATTTAGAAGCACACACATACAACTTTCTGGGGTCCTATTGTCCCCACAAGGATATAAAATCAGGAATATATGACAACATCTTATAAATTATACTAAAGAATGTTTTATAAAATACTATCACTATAGTATGGCCCTTCCTTACACTAACACTAAATCTACCCCTTACAGAAACGCAACCCTAAACCTACCCATCACAAATGTTTTAACATTCATGTATATGTATATGTATATGTATATGTATATGTATATGTATATGTCTATGTGATCACTATAACAGCTCCTGTAAAACTCCAGGTTGTGGTAATTTACCGCCCTCCTGGGCAAATTCTATCCACCTTCCTAGAAGAGCTGGCTGGGCTGCTGTCCTCATTATACCCTGATACAAGTATAGTATCTGTATACAAGCATTGATTCAATACAGTGAGAATAAAAAAAGCCTCACAATATATTGATATATGATGTATATGAATATGAGATTGATATATGAAATTGTGTGGACACAGCCCAACTAATCCTCCCCTTCTTGATCTAGAGTGCATGCTGGGACCTCCAGAGAGGATGAAGGAGAGTGTTAAGATGATGTTTATGAACCCCAGACACTGGAGGAAGGCAAACGCTAACTCAACATTCACTCACATACTCGCATTGATCCACACACTTGATATCCTGGCTTTGCGACGGCCTACAGGGATGCCATACACCCACACATAGAGACACACAATCTTTAGAATTGTTGTGGCTCAGGACTGGAGGGCTCTCTATATCTTGGCAGCTCATCTCATTGGTTTTCACTGAATGACAGAAATGTACTATTCTAAACAGCAATGCAGACAATCAGCAGAACAGAAATGCTTATTCAAGGCCACTGGAACAGAACACGTGCATGCATGTTAATCTTCAGACTACTACATTGTCTGACCTGCTCTGATGCTCTGTTGCTTCGCAGGACATGACTGTGCAATGCTCAGAATATAAGAAGCTGTAGATATACAGGGCATTGTGTGTAATCACCTTATCAGTGTCAGGCAGACAAACACCCCTCTTCCCTAACCTGATTTCCTTAGTGTTGGAGGAGATCCATCGGGATACATCCACAATCCCGAAATCTCTCTCTCTCTCTCTCTCTGCCTTATCATCTGAGAAGCTATATTTTGTTCTGATCAGGTAGGAAAGATGAATGAGACATGAACTTCTGTAGATAACACCAGCATTTGATGGGAAAGCCAGAGGTTTTTAAACTGGTGTCTGGGGTCCCCCAGGGGGCTGCGAGGGGGTGCTTGGGCGTCTGTGAAAAATTTAGGAAAGACGGATTTATTTTTTAAACAAAAAAGTAAAAAATATCTTACAAAATATCTAGTTTTTATACAAACCACTACAACATAAATCTATCTATCTATCTATCTATCTATCTATCTATCTATCTATATATATATTATGCACACACACACATACACACACACACTGATTTAAAAAAACGTTTAAGAAATATAAACAAAAACGTCTTTTAAATATTAATACTGATTATACATAACTTACTATAATACTGAGTCAACATACAGAGTAAATATTCTCCAGACAATAATAACATGTTTTAGTTTAAATATGAATGCAACAAAAATAAACTGATAAAATTCATAAATGTATTTATGCAACATTGTGATTTTTAACATACTGCTGTTGCTAGTGTTTTACAGTGTCTACAGAAAATATTTAGCAAACTATTATATTTTAATAATTTGTTTTGCTTTAGTACTGTGACAATTTAAAAGCCAATTATTTCATTTTGGAAACAACATGTCTTATTAATATTTTAAACTTAATATTTTTTGTGACAGTGTATCTTCACATTCAGAGGTCCTTGACATTAAAAATGTTTGAAAACTCTTGAGGTAAACAGAAGAATGAATAGCCACCATGAGAAAAGACTTCCAGCCAGTTTCTATGCTGGTCCAGGCTGGTTTATGCTGGTTTATTGCTGGACTGCCTGATAGACCAACATATTTGTGTTAAAAATCCTAGTGTGTACAGCAGCATCCAAAGCGCAACATATGCTGGTCTCTTCAACAGGGTAGACGCTAAGAGACATGGGCAGATGGCTGACCGGGCAGATAGAAAGACTGACAGACAAGCAGGAGAACAAGAAGAGGCATGTAAGAACAGAGAGAAAGTGAGAGGGCAACAGATAGAGACACCTCATCTCAGATGTTGCCAACAGGTCCAAGTGATTACAAGCGTCTGTGATAGCAGTAAAGCAGCACGTCTCACTGCAGGAGAACCACAGCTTTTCAAAGGAAATTACGTGGCAAAACTCTTTGTCCAGGTGGAGGATTTGGACTGACAGGTCAGGGGCTCCCACACAGATGCCTATACAAACTAGCAAAACCGTTCCCAGACCCGTACCTTATGAGGAGACGCGTGTAACATCCATTCGATCTGCCCTCATGCTCCCAACCCACCTAATGATAAAACATTACATCTAAAAGAGGAATCCATGAGCCTTTGATACAGCTGGCTGAATAAATAGGTTTGTACATCTGGTACACATTTGGAACAACTTAGACAAGCGCTCTGAAGCACCTCTTCACCGTCTAATCACAGGCGAAGTGTTAATAGCGCTTCAGGCATCTGAATATTGGCTGTGCATTGTGCATTGTGTTCTCTGTTTGCTGTCATTAAAGCATGAGGATGAAAGATTGAGTTTAGGATTTAGGATTGGTCTCTTCAACAGGGTAGACGCTAAGAGACATGGGCAGATGGCTGACCGGGCAGATAGAAAGACTGACAGACAAGCAGGAGAACAAGAAGAGGCATGTAAGAACAGAGAGAAAGTGAGAGGGCAACAGATAGAGACACCTCATCTCAGATGTTGCCAACAGGTCCAAGTGATTACAAGCGTCTGTGATAGCAGTAAAGCAGCACGTCTCACTGCAGGAGAACCACAGCTTTTCAAAGGAAATTACGTGGCAAAACTCTTTGTCCAGGTGGAGGATTTGGACTGACAGGTCAGGGGCTCCCACACAGATGCCTATACAAACTAGCAAAACCGTTCCCAGACCCGTACCTTATGAGGAGACGCGTGTAACATCCATTCGATCTGCCCTCATGCTCCCAACCCACCTAATGATAAAACATTACATCTAAAAGAGGAATCCATGAGCCTTTGATACAGCTGGCTGAATAAATAGGTTTGTACATCTGGTACACATTTGGAACAACTTAGACAAGCGCTCTGAAGCACCTCTTCACCGTCTAATCACAGGCGAAGTGTTAATAGCGCTTCAGGCATCTGAACATTGGCTGTGCATTGTGCATTGTGCATTGTGTTCTCTGTTTGCTGTCATTAAAGCATGAGGATGATAGATTGAGTTTAGGATCTAATGTAGTACCTAGCTCAGGCTAAACCTGTCAGTTCATCTCTATTATATAAACCGATAGAGCTCCTGCTCTAAAATCTGATTGGATGCTCAAAGTGGTTTTCAAATTCAATACACCTAGAGATGACAACACATCAGTTGAATTGTATTAATGCGTCATGTTGCTACTATACACTGATTGACAACCAAAAACAGCCTTTTGAACTGCATTATTTTGACTTTTGTATTAGAATTCTTTATTAAGATGATGATTATTCTTCGTCTTCCCAATGATATTGATGATGATAATGATGATGATAATAATAATAATAATAACAACAATAAACGTATAAATAAATACAATATATATATATATAATCTATTAATTGAATAATGAATTTAATAAACATTTCTTGTTAATTTATTTATCTAAATATAATTTATTTATTATTAAAATAATACATTATATTGATATTGATTTTAATTAAGACTTTGTATTATTGTAACATTATAAAGTACAATGAGATATCAATCTCATTACAATCAGATTTTGTTTTGTCGAAAGTAATTTATACTTTATTTTCAGATACATTCAATTGATCAAAAGTGACATTAAAACATTTGTTATTATATATATATATATATATATATATATATATTAAACAACCTATAATAATAATAATAATAATACAATTTCAATTAAATTTGAGAGCGAGTTCTTTAGCCAACAACTAAAGAAAAAGCAAAGAAAACTGACTTTATCAAAACACTTTTATGGGGCCTCAAGTGGCTTATTGTGCTTTTGTCTTACA